ACACACACACACACACACACACACACTCACACACACACACACACACACACACACATACACAAATGCTGACTGAATTATTATTATTATATATTTTTAATGGATCTCATATTGTATGTTCTATACAAGTCAAACTTATCATTTTGATAGACTATGCACTACACTCTTAAAAATAAAGGTGCTTCACGATGCCATAGAAGAACCTTTAACATCTGAAGAACCTTTCTGTTTCACAAAAGCTTCTTTGTGGCGAAATAAGGTTCTTCAGATTACAAAAAAGAGATGAGTAAGAAAGAGATGGTTCCTTAAAGAACCTTTGACTGAATGGTTCTCTGTGGAACCAAAAATGGTTCTTCTATGGCATCGCTTGAAGAACCTTTTGAAGCACCTTTATTTTTAAGAGTGTATGATTGACTATATGTTCCTATTCGATAGAAAACCAGTGCCAATGTTTTGACCAAATGATTAAATTTTGGATCGGGTTTGCTGTGTTTTGATAGAGTTAGTATATGTAGAAAAAGGCATTCAGCATTTTGAAATGTAGAGTTTGTATTTATTTAACAAAATATGGTTTTGGCCAGAAAATTAACTATTTGGCTAATTGTGTGCTGTAGGTGTGTTGCTGTGTTAAGAGTTTAGAAAAAGTGCTTTAAGTATTGGTAAACGCTCGTTAGCAATTGAAAAAAACGGTAGTACGTTTTTTTGAGTATGTGAATTAATGTGTGTTTTATGTTCAGATGTTTTCATGTTTAACCAAGTCCTGTCTTGTCCAGAACTCTCTTGTAAAAGAGTTTTTGAATCTCAAGAGTTTTATTTCCTGGTTAAATAAAGGTTAATAAGTAAGTAAGTAAGTAAATGAATAAATACAAATAGCAATATAACAGAGTTCCATGTCAGTTAAACCCTTAAAAACAAATAGTAAATTCATATACTGAATGCTAAGCCAATGGAGGGACGCTAACACAGGTGATATATGCACTTCCTAATCCCAGTCAAAAGCCCAGCAGCAGCATTTTGGACAAACTACAGGCTTGACAATGAGGCATGAGAAACAACATATCACAATGAATTACAGTAGTCCAGTCTAGATATAATAAAAGCATGCACAACAGCTTCCAAACCTCTAAAGGGGTCATATGGTGCGATTGAAATTGTTCCTTTCTCTTTGGAGTGTTACAAGCTCTTGGTGCATAAAGAAGATCTGTAAAGTTGCAAAGACTAAAGTCCCAAATCCAAAGAGATATTCTTTATAAAAGTTACGAGTCAGCCACACCTACCTAAAATGGCTCGTTCTAACACGCCCCCACATGTCTACGTCACTATGTGGGAAGATTTGCATAACGCCGCCCAAATGTTCACGCAAAGAAAGAAGGCGTAACTTTTATTCTCGCTGTAGTATTGTTGTTGCCTCCGCAAGCTCCTTCGTCGAATCCGCGGGCCACCGCTCACGCTAGGCCATACATGTGGGAAAGTACTCACCAGTATTAATTTGAAGATGAGCCCTCTCTTTACCCTGTTTAACAAATTGAACTGGGGAGTATAAAAACGTTTCGCAAATATTTGTGTGAATCAGTGACATTTTTTTTTATTTAAAAAAATAAATAAAAACGGTTTTCTACACAAATTATCAGTTCATCTCAAGCTGCTCTTGATTGTTTCTTTAGTAATCAAGCATTGGAATGATTTTTATTCAGTGCACGTTTTGTTAATTGATTGAATTAATGCACAATATACAATATTCTGCTCAGAATGTCTCACGTCAAGCATGTTCTTCACTGTCTCTGCCGTCTTCTTGGTAAATAAAGCTTTATTAGGTGCAAAACTGTTCAGTGTGGTGGAAATTATTCCATTACTGTGGGCCAGCTTTGAATAATTGATAGAAACATACATTGAAAAACTTAGTTTGAGATTTTCATATCTTTAAACACCTAATAATCTCTCTCTCTCGCTCTCTCTCATGATTGTAAGTCTGGATCTGAGACCAGGGTAAAACAATAAAATCTATGTATGAAAGTCATTTAAAAAAGTAGCAAATGAAGACCATGTACAGGCTCAATTCATATTTACACATCATTCATATCATCTTAAAACAGTTAAACAGTTTTAACACCAGTTCGTTTCAGACTCCAATCGCCTGTTCATTTTTATTGGCGTGTCTCTCTCTGAACTACAGTACAGAACATCAGCTTTTCAGATCCATGGAAACAGAAAGAGCCTTAAGAGCCAATGTCATGCCAGCAAACTGTATTAGAATTGAAGAAGTGTGTGAAAACAGCAGACAGGGTTTTGTGTCCACTAATTGGTATGGGTCAATATAATGCATGCCCTCTTTTTATTCCCCCCTAGAATTATATAGAATTGCCACTAGCAGGAGCTGTCACGTGATACGGTCAGGATCGACCAATCACAGCCGTTTGTGATTACAAGATCAGGCTTTCTCCTCATTTCAAAATCAATTTTAGGGACATTTCAGGGCCGAATTTCCATTTTTTTGTCAGATACTAATCCTCGAACGGAATACAGTTAAACTATTGAAACTTTTTAGCGCAAAATGTCTTCATTAAGAGAGAGAGAGAGAGAGAGAGAACTCCTGGGATGTGTTTCTGGGCACCAGCGCGCCCCCTTCAGGAGAAGGCCAGTTGTTGGGGTTCCAGCAGCCCGTTTATGCCGCCCTGTCCCACCGGAGCGGACGGAGGATGCGCGCATGCGCAGAGCATCAGAGCGGAGCATCTTATGGCATGAGCGGAGGAGGAGCAGCCCCGCGCATGCGCACCGCCGGCAGGATTCTGCCCCTCCATGACATCCAGCGGGACTGAGACTGACTGCTGCCGCTGCTGCGTCAAATACATGATCCGCCTAATCCCTCAGCCCTCCTCGAGCTCCGGGACTGCTAGATAATAACGCGCTCGAGCGGAATCCGCAGGCCTACCGGACGCAGAGGCGGACATAACGGCGCTCTGGTGGCTTGAATTGACCGGGGTTCGTCGAGGATGAGGCTGATCGAGAGCACACATGCGGACGGACAGGAGAAGCGCGAGCTGCCTCCTCCGTTCAGGAACCCGTTCGTGCACGACCTACGGTTCACGACGGCGCAGAAGCTGCAGGTACGTGGCGTGTGTGGATGCTGCTGTAGGCCGTGAGATGCTCCGCTCCGGCCTGCTCGAGTCAGAGTTTCCTTCCTGTGCTACATGTTGCACTCACTCGGGCTGGAAGAGCCTATCAGGATCGAGGAGTCAGGCGCGAGCCGCTGCGGCCTTTTATCTGACGCGACGAGCTGGAGCTACTTGTTACTTGTTCTGTCTGTCTCTCATTCTGTGTCTGTCTTTTGTTCATTCTCTCTCTCTGTCTGTCCTTCTCTCTGTCTTTAGTTCTGTCTGTCATTCTGTCTGTTGTTTCTGTCGCTGATTCATTCATTCTAGTTTCTGTCTGTTATTCGTTTGTTCTGTCCGTTTGTTCATTCTCTTTTATTTGTTCGTTCTTTCGGTCTGTTGTTTCTGTCTGTCGCTCATTCATTTTGTCTTTTGTTCATTCTGTCTGTTATTTGTTTGTTCTGTATGTTATATGTTTGTTCTGTCTGTCTTTTGTTCATTCTTTCGGTCTGTTGTTTCTGTCTGTCACTCATTCATTCATTCTGTTCGTTCTGTCTGTTATTTGTTCGTTCTGTATGTTATTCCTTCTGTCTGTTATTTGTTCTGTCTGTCTTTTGTACGTTCTGTCTGTCTTGTCATTCTGTCTGTTGTTTCTGTCGCTGATTCATTCATTCTAGTTTCTGTCTGTTATTCGTTTGTTCTGTCCGTTTGTTCATTCTCTTTTATTTGTTCATTCTTTCGGTCTGTTGTTTCTGTCTGTCGCTCATTCATTTTGTCTTTTGTTCATTCTGTCTGTTATTTGTTTGTTCTGTCTGTCTTTTGTTCATTCTTTCGGTCTGTTGTTTCTGTCTGTCACTCATTCATTCATTCTGTTCGTTCTGTCTGTTATTTGTTTGTTCTGTATGTTATTCCTTCTGTCTGTTATTTGTTCTGTCTGTCTTTTGTACGTTCTGTCTGTCTTTTTTTCATTTTGTCTGTTATCTGTTCGTTCTTTTTGTCATTTGTTCATTCTGTCTGTCTGTCAGTCGTTTTGTTCTATTTGTCATTTATTCTGTCTGTCTGTGGTTCATTTGCTGTGTTCGTCCTCTGTCTGTCTGTCTGTCGCTCTGTTGTCCTAGCTGTCTGTCTGGCTGTATTATGCTGTCTGTCGTTCGTTCTCTGTCATTGATTCTGTCTGTCATTCTATCTATCTATCTATCTATCTATCTGTCTATCTATCTGTCTGTCTATATGTCTGTCTGTCTGTCCGTCTATCCATCTGTCTGTCGTCTGTCCGTCCGTCCGTCTATATCTGTCTGTCCGTCCGTCCGTCCGTCTGTCCGTCCCTGTCTGTCTGTCTGTCTGTCTGTCTGTCTGTCTGTCTGTCTGTCTCTGTCTGTCTGTCTGTCTGTCTGTCTGTCTGTCTGTCTGTCTGTCTGTCTGTCATATGTATAAAAGCCAAGTCAGAAAGTCAACTTCATTTCTAATGTGCCTTATACAATATAGATTTTTTCACAGCAGCTTCAAAATAGTATCAAATTCACATTCTGCTGTAAAGCAGCTCTAAGTCTATCTATCTGTCTATCTATCTGTCTGTCTATATGTCTGTCTGTCTGTCCGTCTATCCATCTGTCTGTCATCTGTCCGTCCGTCCGTCTATATCTGTCTGTCTGTCTGTCTGTCCCTGTCTGTCTGTCCCTGTCTGTCCGTCTGTCTGTCTGTCTGTCTGTCCCTGTCTGTCTGTCTGTCTGTCCCTATCTGTCTGTCTGTCTGTCTGTCCATCTGTCCGTCTGTCTGTCTGTCTGTCTGTCTGTCCCTATCTGTCCGTCTGTCTGTCTCTGTCTGTCTGTCTGTCTGTCTGTCTGTCTGTCTGTCCCTATCTGTCCGTCTGTCTGTCCCTGTCTGTCTGTCTGTCTGTCCCTATCTGTCTGTCTGTCTGTCTGTCCATCTGTCCGTCTGTCTGTCTGTCTGTCTGTCTGTTTTGCAGGTATACATAAAGCGATTCTTCTTAATGAGACAAACAGAGTGTCTGTCTCTGTCTGTCTGTCTGTCCCTGTCTGTCCGTCTGTCTGTCTGTCTATCTGTCTGTCCGTCTACATTTACATTTGAGTCATTTTGCAGGTATACATAAAGCGATTCTTCTTAAAGAGACAAACAGAGACAGGAAGTGCTTCTAATACCAAGTTTCTAGACATTGTTCAAATAAGTACAAGCTAGAAAGAGAAGGAATAAGTAAAGAGAGAGTTTTTTTTTTTTTCTTTTATATGATGAAGTCAAGTAGCTTTGAAAGAGATGAGTTTTCAGCTGTCGCTTGAAAATTGTCAGGGATTCAGCATTCCGGATAGAGGTGGGAAGATCGTTCCAGCAGCCGGGAGTGGTGATCTATTTTGTTTGTACTCTATATCATGTATATGGCTCGTAGTGTCTAGCGTTGGATCTGTTGTCTGATGGAGCGGTGGATGTGTGGTTTCTGCAGAGAGACAGCAGCTGCTCGACTGATAATCAGCTTTGCAGGGTGAAGATGAGCTCATGTGTGTTCATGGAGGCCTCTAGAAATAAACTTCTAGTTACAGTTTTCCAAGCGAAGTCTGAAACTGCATGTCAGAATGCTTGTTACATTTTTTTTCTAATTAAATGCATAGTTTTTCAAGATCAGTTACATATTTAGCAGAATGCGGTACAATTCACGATACTGATTTCACAATACGATTTTCTCAAGATTTTGTTTTTTTTAACAAAATAAGATTTAAGACCAATTATAAGTGAAAAGATGTCCTTTTATTATTGCTTGGAGAAAATGCTGTACATTTCTTCGTGAAATTCAAATATGTAGAATAACAACTAAATTGAAATTTTAAAAGTCAAATAAATACTACAAATAACAGAAATCTCTTCCTATAAACTAAGGCTTTGTCTGTGCTCTTTCCATTTAAAATTAGAGCAACCACTGGATTTTAATCATGATCCAAACATGCAGCATGGACAGTTTAGATTGGAATCGTTGCATATTTGTGTAGATGTTCAACCGGCTCGCGGTGCATCGTTACATCCCTACTCGGATCTAATATATCTCTTTAGATAAACATTCCTGACTTCAATAAATGCCGTGTTCACACAGAGAATCAAAACTCACTAAAGTATGGTAAAACATTATAAGTGAAAAGATGTCCTTTTATTATTGCTTGGAGAAAATGCTGTACATTTCTTCGTGAAATTCAAATATGTAGAATAACAACTAAATTGAAATTTTAAAAGTCAAATAAATACTACAAATAACAGAAATCTCTTCATATAAACTAAGGCTTTGCCTGTGCTCTTTCCATTTAAAATTAGAGCAACCACTGGATTTTAATCATGATCCAAACATGCAGCATGGACAGTTTAGATTGGAATCGTTGCATATTTGTGTAGATGTTCAACCGGCTCGCGGTGCATCGTTACATCCCTACTCGGATCTAATATATCTCTTTAGATAAACATTCCTGACTTCAAATAAATGCCGTGTTCACACAGAGAATCAAAACTCACTAAAGTATGGTAAAACGGTTAGATCTCAGAAATGATACTAGCTGTAACGGTGCTCATGTTTGCAGCATATGTGCATTATTGCATACGCGTCTGCTGAATCTCATGGTAATGAGGTCAGTCGGTCTGTCTGCATCAGCACATGTAAAGGTCTGTTTTTGCAAGGGCTGCTTTAAAACTTTATTTTATTCACTTTTAATCTTTATTAGCATCCTTTACTGTGAGAATGTTGGTAGAGATAATTGTCCATACATGTCAAAACGACGGAAAGCGTTTTGAATGATCAGACACCAAGATGACCCAAGTATCTGAAGTCTTGTGCATCACGTTTGTGTTGGACAGACCTTTGACCCCGAGACGGGTTCGGTCCTGTCACATCCATTTATAACCACAGATCCACATGTTTTCAGACACGTTCGCCACTGAGAGGCCATCGCATGTTTGAAAAGCAACATTTCTGCAGTAGGTGTTATGATTTATGAAACCGATGCTGTTTGCGTGAAAGTCTTTTGGAGCCATTGGTAGCGCAAACGCAGCAGTTTTTTGTCTAATTGTGTGCTTTCATTCTGCTTACTCAGCTCGGTGGAGTGTTTGCATTCGATTATTATGTGAATGCAAATCGGCTCCTTGAGGAATTGTTATGATATAATACTTAACATGTTTAGAGATGGCGTAAACGCAGAAGCAACTGCGGTCTGTGTCCTAGTCTTTGTTTCATCTGTCATTAATGCTGAGTGTTTAAGTGCTAAATTAAAGCAAGTTGCTCCATCCTCCTTGAGGAATTGTTATGATATAATACTTAACATGTTTAGAGATGGCGTAGACGCAGAAGCAACTGCGGTCTGTGTCCTAGTCTTTGTTTCATCTGTCATTAATGCTGAGTGCTAAATTAAAGCAAGTTGCTCCATTAGCATCGTTTTCCCGAGAGGTTCAGTCATCTGCCGCTGTCTTGTTTTAAAAGGGTGGTTCATCCACAATTAAATAGCCAAACTCCAAAATATATAAAAAGCACCATAAATTAGCCTATATATAGTAGGTTTTCTGAAATTATAGGATCGCTTTGTGTGACTAAAATGTAACTTATTTACAGATAATCTTGAGTCGGTGATAAAAGTGGCTAAGATAAATAAAGAATCTCTTTCAAAAATGCAGTTTGAAATGCATGTAAAGTTCTTTATAAATGTACTCTGTGTATTTGTCGTGTTGCTTTCATATTCAAATGAATACCCGTGTCTCCTGAAAATAGATTGAGACCAGTTCACCAATTCGGTCTGAACCGTTCACGGCTCGAGACACTTTCATCACGCTCACAACAACACACATTTAGTTTCTCAGATTTAGGCTGTGCTTTCTACTAATAATCATTCAACAAAGCATATTTTGATCTTACGTTGATCTAAATGCTGATGCACAGTAATGTCCAGCAGTCTTGCTTATAATAGAGCTGGTTCGACTCTTGTCTCGAGGCTATATTTTGCAGCCGTGTGAGAATGAGGTTTCTGTCACGTAGT